CCAGCCTACGCCCGCCGCCGCGCGCGATTTCTACCTCCACCCGCGGGGCGCGCGGCGTGGCGGGTGTGGTGGGAGCTCTTGCTGCGCTGCTAACCGCGGCAGCTCCGAGGAGGAGGATGGGGATGTAGAGGGGCGAGGAGGATACTAATGATGAGTGATGTGCAATAGAGAAGATACTTGCAACAGAGAGGATACTGATCAGTATCAGGTGTATCCGGCGGCTAGGTGTCAGGCGCGAAGTAAGGCGGGCGCGGGTGGGGGTATCCTGGGCCGCGCGGCCGCAACATATTCCCCTTCCCACACATGGCGCAGCAAGGTCGCCTCCCGTTCGAGTCTGGTGCCCCAGCGAATCCGTCGCGCCTCGGTCGCATCCCAGGTGCCAGCTACCTAAAACACCACCGAATCACAACATAACCGTTACACTGAACAGTTCCAGGCGAGCACTGGCGCAGAGCAGGGGATTCCCCTGACCAGCTCCGTCGCGCGTGGGCAGCAGACGGTGGGCGATTAGATTGAACATAACCTTCCTAGGACATGCCGCTCCATCCACATAGTTGATGGTAGCAACACTCACTTAGCATGCTCTACTTTCGCATTGTCGACCACTCCACTGCCGTGGTTAGTGGGAACAGCGATCCTCTCGCTTGCATGTTCTTCCATTCGCTTCGTCTCTCGGCGACGGCAAAGCGCGCGGTTTGCGAAGGGCGCGGTTTGCCTCCCGTCTTATCTGCCCCCCCAGCCCCCGGGAGACGGATGACACTGTCGTTCAATGCGGCCGAATGCATGACACTGTCGCTCCTTCTAATACAATGGAACACACATCGCGGATGACAGCGTCGCTCGAAACGACGACAATTATGACGTTGTCTCTCGCGAAGGCCCCGGAAACGGCAGCCACAAAGCAACTCGCAAACTGCGCCCAGGCATGACCGCGCCGATCGTAGTCGCCGAATCTCTGTCCTGGTTGCCCGTGAAATTGGGCGATCTGCCACCCGGGCGTCACCTTCGCGAACGTACTCGGGGATGTGCGAACGCGGTCTGGTCCAATCGTTCGAATCGCCCTCCTCCTGGATGGTGAGATCGCTGTGTTGCCAGCTTGGTAAGGCCTTCTTATGTTTTTCCTCGCTCAGCTTGATGGTGTCGCGTGCGTTGCTGAGCCTGCCGTCCGTGAATCGTCGCGGGTTCGGCCCTCATGTGTCTGGTGACGCATTGCAGCGCGTCGTCGATCTGCTTGGCGCGGAGCTGGTCTGATAGCCGTCAGAGACGCCAGACACGGCCGGCCATGCTTGTCTCCGACGGGGGTCGAACAGGGCCCACGGCTAGGGCAGAGAAGATGGACGTGCCGTCTACGACCAGCTCGGCTGGCGCAGCGTTGCCCCCTTCCTTTCGCGGCCTCCCGATCTCCTCGGCTGAGGCAGGTCCGCGCATCATCGCTCAGCGTGAGGAGGTGCGCCAATGGGCTGTCGGCCGCGCTGCAGGCTGCGAGCAGCTCCGCGCCCGATGGTGATCGACGCGCCGGCTTGTGCGATCGGCTCGCGGCGTCGACCAAGTGGCAGACCTGTTTGCCAGTGCTGCGACGCTTGCCCAGACGCATGTATACGGCTCCTCTCATGCCGTAACTGGTCTCCTCCTCCCGCGTGGGCGACCCGTCGATGCGCGCGCATCGTCGCCCAACACTCCGTTCTGAGTGGCCAGAACGATCGAGCTGAGCTTCGTCGCGTGGTGGATGGGCAGCTTGATTTTGGCCTTCTGCAGTGCGACGATGCACGCGGCGACGCGGTGTTGCGTGGGCAGCGTGTGCGGCTGCTCCGAGGGGTGAGACAAAAACATCTGGAAACCGACCTCCTGCCATCTCGCCGGCCTTCGCCTTGGCCCGGTCGAAGTGCCCGAGGAGTGTCGGGGCGTCGATCTACGAATTCTGGTCGAGCGTCGCTGTTCCATCGACGCTGCGGTGCTGGTGTGCCCTGAAATATGAAATCGTCGTAGTCATCCTTCATGTTGCCGAAAACTCTGTTGATGTGGCCGATCGACCCGTCGACGTGCTCCCTGCGCCCAGCGATCTCTAGATCGTCAACGTGCTTGGACAGCGCGGGCGCGAGCCGCCCGCGCCGCCTGCGCTAGGCGTCTCGAGCGTGACCTCGAGCTTGGGGGCCCCGCCTCGCCGGCTGGGCGTCGCGCTCTGGTGCGCGCGTGGCCTGGGCGAGCCTCGTGGGCCGTGCTCGGCTTGATGCAGCGCGGCTGCTCGGTCCGCTCGTCGAAGGGCTCGCGGCCTGTCGCCGGCCCGGGGGCGGCTGTGCTGCGGGGCGGCAGGGTGGAGTTCACCTCGCGTGGAGCGTCGCCCTGTCCCTGCATCTCGGCGAGGTGCATGCCCTGCAGGAATGCCTTCTCGACGCCCGCGGCGAAGTGCGCCCGGGCCGAGCGGCGCGCCGCCTCTGAAGCGCGCGCGCGCCGCGGCGCCCGCCTCGCCACCCCGGCGAACGTTTCGAAGGCCCGAGAGTCTTCGACGACGGACTCAGGAGGCTGAGGCAAGTCCTGGCCAAGAGGAGGGGGGCCATCCTGGGTGGGGTTCTGACCGTGGGGGGCGTGGCGGCTCGGAACGGCGTGAGGCCTGCGTGCGATAGTGGACTGAAGCTGACCACCATCGCCGCCTTCTCCCAGTGCCAGGCCCTCCTGACCAGGGCGCCGTTGCAGGGTGTGGTCGGCGGAGAGGCCGCCCAGGTGCATGTTCAGCTCCAAAAAAAGGATCCACGCGGGGATCGCCCAAGTCCGCGCCTCTAGCAGCACGAACTTCAACTGGGGCAATTGAGGGGGTGCGCGGAGAAGAACCAAGGCAATCCGCTAAACAATCCAGCGTAACGTGTAGATCATTCGCCTGGGTTCCTTGCGTCGTTTTCGAGCCGCATCGAGCTCCTGCGGGGAAGAGAGCCTGCCCGACCACGACGAACGCGTAGGCGAGGAAGAGCAGGGTGCCGAAGATGGCGCAGCCGTCGAGGAACAAGGGGTAGCCGAAGTCCCTGCCGCCGTCGCAATGGAAGAAGGCTTGGTAACCGTAGTGCCTGCTGGAGCGCCAGCAGTAACAGCCCATCCCATCTTCTTTGGTGCCGAATCCACCGTGGCATCCGCCGCAATACTGAAATAATCGAGCCATGGCATAGCTCGACTGGGCGGAGCGCATGCTTGCTTCAATGGATCGGGCGAGGTCGCGAAAGGGATGTCGGAACCAAGATGGCAATGGAAGGGGTGCGCCGTGGTTATCAACCTGCGCACTCCGAGGGGGGCTCCCTCAAGTCTTGCTGGTCTCATCCTTCTTGCCGCCCCTCCGCTGCTCGAGCTGCGTCGACCTCTGTCTGACGGCCTCCAACTGCGACTGCTGGCGGCGGTAAAAGAGGAAGCAGCGGCAGCGGGCTCTGCAAGTTCCACATTTCCTTCACCTCCTCCTGGTTTGGCTCTTGCATCTTCCTCCTCGTTGCTGACAAATCATTTTGTTGGCCGCGAAGCTAACTTTTTGAGCCTCATGATCAGCGCCGCATGTTTCTTGGCCTCTTCCATGGCCTTGGCGCACAAATTCTTGGCTGTGGTGGCCAGGAAGATCCGAAGCTGATTGGTGCGCTCCTTGATCTTCTTTCGATCCTCTTCACCCACTTCGACGTCCGCGGGGCGGTCGCCGAGCAGCCCGATGTCGAAACCGAGGGAGTCCACTTTGCCCGAAACAAGATCCTCCAGCTTGATCTTCGGGGCGATGCTGGAGGGGAAGTGTGCGCCAGTGGCGGCCAACTTGGTGGCCAGCTCCGCGTGCTGGACGCCCAAGGGTTCGAGCTTAGCTTCTAGGGTGTTGCTGTGCCCCTCATGGTCCTCCACATTCTGGATCCACTTGTTATGTTGGTCCAGTTCTTTGGACGGTCGTTGTAGTAGCTTGTCGCGCTCGCGCCTGGACTCGGCCAAGCGCTGCTCCATGGGCTTCTCGACCACTGGGGGGCTGGGCCGCGAGAGGGCGGAAATGCGACCTTGGACCCCTGTGGCGGGGTTCTTGTCCCCCGTCTTGTTGGCGATACTGAGCAGGCTGTCCAACTCACCGCTGTCCAGCCCATCAAGTAGAGACCAAACAAGAGCAGGAGAGCGAGCCTACGGGCCCGTCGGCAGGAGCCCCGCGGGGCGCGGCTGTTAGAGCTCCAGGCTGCCGGAGTTGCCCTTTGACCAGGACCACTGCTCACGTGAATGGCGCCAGGGCGATGGGAGGGTCCATCCTGGTTCTGGCGTGCGGTCGGCGTGGCAGTGTTTGCACCACTGCCAGTGGTCCTCGTTGCGCGAACAGCCGCATTGCCCATAGCGCCACGTGGGCCCTGAAGGCGGCGGCCTGGCAAGCTTCCTGCGTACCGTAGTTGGCTTCTTCTTGGACGCTCAGGCCTCGTTCTTTTTCCACAGGAGCAGAGACCAAACCATCTTGTGGCATGGGAGAAGGTTGGGTCGCCAACCCCTGGCCAGTAGAACTCGTGTCCGATACACCTGCAATGGGTCCTTGAGCCTGCCGCAGACCTGCGGTTCTTCTTCTTCTTCTTCTTCAGAGGAGGAGGAGGAGGAGGAGGAGGAGGAGGAGGAGGAGGAGGAGGAGGAGGAGGAGGAGGAGGAGGAGGAGGAGGAGGAGGAGGCGGAGGAGGATGAGGAGGAGGAGGATGAGGAGGAGGAAGAGGAGGAGGAGGAGGAAGAGGAGGAGGCGGAGGAGGAGGCGGAGGAGGAGGAGGAAGAGGAGGAGGAGGAGAATGACATGGACAGGGAGGGGGAGGTGGAAGAGGAGGAGGAGGAGGAGGAGGAGGAGGAAGAGGACGAGGAGGAGGATAAGGAATAGGAGGAGGAGGAGGAGGAGGAGGAGAAGGAGGAGGAGGATGAGGAGGAGGAGGCGGAGGAGGAGGATGAGGACGAAGAGGGGGAGGGTCGGATGATGACCACTAGCAGCACCAGCAGCAGCTGCGGGAGGATAATACATGGTAAAGGGTGGCGGCCTGCCTGCGCTTTCGCTTCCAGCGTTTTGATGAACTCCGGGGAGGCTCCCGAGAAGATGCACCGATCTCGGAGGATCTTGACGTTCTTGGGGGTCCTGGCTGGAGGAGGTGGGTGGGGAGGAGTGGGAGGAGGGGGGAAGGGGGGAGCAGGGGAAGGAGGGCGACGAGGAGGTCTGCTTCTGCTCGTCCTCCTTTGCGCTGGTCAGACTCAAGCAAGATGGTCGGAGCGTCACCTCCAACTCCACCTCGAATAGACATTTTCCTCCTCCTTTTTCCGTTCCTTCCCCTTATAGATAATTCCTACCAGTCGCACCCCGGGGCCAGTTTTTAAGGCGGGCCGGGCGTTTCGCCTGAGACCTCCCCACCACTTATGACCCTGAAGCTAAAACAATGTCAACAGTTTCACATGTGGACGGCGGGTGGGATTCAAAATGTGGCTCTCGCCTTAGCGCCGCGCACATTCGTTGAAACAAACTGCAAGAGATTCATGGATTGAGGGCGGGTGGTTTTCAACATGTGACTCTCGCCTTAGCGCCGCGCACATTCGTTTCAAACTTTTGCAGGCGTTTCACGGATTGAGGGCGGGTGGTTTCCAAAATGTGGCTCTCGCCTTCGCGCCGCGCACATTCGTTTTGAACATATGCAAGCGTTTCACATATTGAGGGCGGGTGATTTTCAACATGTAGCTCTTGCTTTAGCGCCGCGCACAGTCGTTTTAAACATTTGCAGACATTTCACGGATTGAAAGCGGTTCCTGTTCAAATTGTGACTCTCGCTTTAGCGCCGCGCATATTGCAAGAGTTTCGCATATTGAGGGCGGCTCCTTTTCAAAATGTGGCTCTCGCCTCAGCGCCGCGCACATTTGCTTGTAAACTTTGCAAGGGTTTCACGGATTCCCATGACCAGCGTACCAGATAGGTTATTCTGGAAAAGGGTTCAGGATTAAGCGGGCGCAACAGTTATGTTGATTCGCTGTGTCAAACTCTCAAAAACGGCGTTCTGGCACCGTTCTGGATCGTCAAGACGCAGCGGTCAGGTTGATACGTGGCGTTGATATCCCGAGAACAATGATTTGGCACGCTTCAGGATCTTCAAACTGCTGTCTTTCAACGAGGCAGTTCCCTCAATGGACATGAACCGTTGTAGGGGCCTATGAAGAGGGAGCTTGGAGGGAGGGTTAATTCCAACATCGTTGATGACTCTTGGGTTTTCACTGGTCCTCATTCCTCCTCCTCCTCCTCCCTCCCTCCCTCCCTCCCTCCTCCTCCTCCTCCTCCTCCTCCTTCTCCTCGCCCTCCTCCTCGAAGATCCTGGTTCCCTCGCCCGCGACCGTGTCCAGCAGCTCGGCCCGTTCCTCTGGCAGCTCCTCGAACGCCCTGGCGATGACGCCGCGGTGGAGCACGCTCACGTAGCAGGTCTCCCGTGCCTGCAGCAGGTACATACGAGAAGGAATCTTGCCATGAGAAGTGTAGGAACGCGTCCTTCGTCGACCTCGAGCTTTGTACGGTGCCCCAGGGGTCACCGGGCCTATCGGGGGACAAGACGTGTTCGTTGGGTGCCCGCTGGCAAGCCGATATCTTCCTTCGTGTGCCTACTGTATGGGCGGGGGGGGGAACTGTCCAGACATCGGGCGCCTCGATTTTCTCGATGCGTGGGCCCCAGGTCTTCTCCGACCCCTTCCCCAGGGCCGTTCTTCTCATCTTGGATCAACGTTTGTGGGGTCCCGCGGCCGCAGGTAAACCTCCAGGGCGCCACAAATGGTGACAGACCGGTCGCATTAGGTTGAGCAGGAACCGACCATCCCGGCATTCCTGCAGTCCTACCGCGACATGTTCTTGGAACCCAGCAATGTTCTAAGAGCGAAAACACTATTCTCGGATCATAAACCCGATGCTTTGAAACAAGACAGACTCAACCAGGAATGTTCTCGTAATCTTTCGTAGAGACCACAACAAGCTTCTTAGAACATTCTTTGGTGGGACCAAAGCAAGCCAAGACGCCTCGCCACTGCTCTATTCGGCGGCTCTCGGGAATTTCCGTGGACTTTCGCCCCGCTCCTGCGCCCCCCCCCGCTGCAGGGGGCGCTGCGGCCTGCGCGTCGCTGCTCGCGCAGGGCCCTCCTGCGCCGCCCTCTGGTGCCTGGAATCGCCCACGACCGCCCTCATGGCTTGCTGATCACCCGCCGCGTCGCTCGTCCCCGCGCAGAGGGGGGGGGCAAGGTGAGGGCATTGAATAAGGAGCCATGGGAACTGGTGGAACTCCAATCGTTCGGGGATGGACAGGCCACCCTTTAGTAGAACGTGGTTTCGTGAAAACGACCTCGGGCCCAAACCTGGCGGGCGCAAGCCTTGAAAACGACGGCCACGGCGCCCTCTCGAGAACCGAAAACGGACGATTCACGAATCGACGTGTCAGGGTGGGGCTTCTGTTCACCCCCGAATCGTGGACTGGAAGCTGGTGGAACTCCAATCGTGGACTGGCCATGCGCACCACTGCCGCCCTCCTCGGATGAGGACCCCCCCCCCCGCGTCTGAGGCCTCCCGGGCGCAACTTTCTCAACGAACGCCCCCCGCTGCAGGGCGAGGGGGAAGGGCTGCCCCAGTGCCCCTCCGGGCCCCTCCTCGCTCCCTCCTCGCTCCCTCCTCGCTCCCTCCCCGCTCCCTCCCCGCCCCTCCTGCTTCTTGACCGGGCGCGGGCCCCAGCTGCTGCCGGCAGCGACCGGGAGTCCTCCGGCGCGTCCGGGCGCGACCCCGCCCGCGCCAGGGGGGAGGCAGCCCGAGAGTGGCCGGCAGAGGGGCCGCAAGCGAGCCCACCGGCACCGAGGGCCCCGGGGGAGGGGGGGCCACCTCGGACGTGGCCCACTGTGCGCCCATGCCTGGCCTCCCTCGCCCACGGGAAGCTGCTTCGGTTTCGGCCGGGAAGGGGGGGGGGGCATGTCGAGGGACGTGTGCGGAACGTGGCGGTGTTCCGAAGTTTCCAGAAGCTCTCGCCAGCCTCCCGCAGGCTCTCGGCCGTCCCTGGTGGTTTTCGGATGTCTTGGCTGAAGCATCGCCTCCCTCCTCCAGCTGCGCTAGCTCCTTCTCCTCCTCGTCCTACTTTGTTTACACCTCTTCCTTACTCCTATTCCTCATCTTTCTGCTCCACTCTCCCCCTCCGCTTCCTGCGCCGTCTCGTTCTTCTCCTCCTCCGCCTCCTCCTCCTCTCCTTCTTTTCCGCCTCCTCATTTTTTCCCTCCTTCTCCATGTATCTTCTCCCCCGTTTCCTTACCCTCCTCATCCCTCCTCCTCCTCCTCCTCCTCCTCCTCCTCCTCCTCCTCCTCTACCTCCGTCTCCTCCTCCTCCTCCTCCATGTACGCACCCAGATCTACTTCCTCCTCCAAATTTTCGCCTGCAGCAATTTGGTGCCGCAGAATACGTCGCCGAAGATGATCTCGCCCTCCGTGATCTCTTCGGGAGGGTCCTTGTCCCGCCGTGCTCTGTTGTTGAGAGGGCGAGGAGGGGATGGAGGATGACTGTACTGTGAGATCACAGGGAGGACGGAAGATGAGGATTGACTCGGGCGTTGGTAGAACTGGGTTTACTGGAACCTGGTTTAATGATCTGTACCGGGGGCGCCCCCCCGTCCCATTTCCACTAACCGGAACTGCCGTCACCCGAAATAACACCAGCTATGGCAAACCTGGTGTAGTGATTCTGGCCAATTCGAATGCTCTGGGGCCCTACCACTAACCGGGTCCCCTTGCCCAGGGTCCTGGCCATTACCGATTGATGAGGGGCTGTGAAGGAAGACGACCTACGTCGGCAGACACTTACACTTGAACTGAATTGGCATAGCGATCTTTAAACCACTGATCCACGTAGATGCCCCAAATCACGGGGTATGGCTGATTCGAAAATCGATCGCTGTTGAGCACTGCGCAACCGTGCCGAAATCAAACAAACGAAATTCTCTCGGATTCAAGCCGGTACATACGTCAATCAACCCGTGTGGACCTGTACCGTCCTGAGCCCGGAACATGGCCAGGAACATCGATCCCAAAGTTATACAAATTATACAACGAGCCCGCTGCAGGCGCCGATTTTTTCGTTAAACCAATGTTTAGGTCGCGGGTGGGTCGCGGGTGGGTCGCAAGTGGGTCGCGGCTTGGTCGCGGGTGGGTCGCGGATGGGTCGCTGTTGGGTCGCGGGTGGGTCGCGGGCGGGTCGCGGGGTGGGTCGCGGGGTGGGTCGAAAGAGGGTCGCGGGTGGGTCGCGGATGGGTCGCGGGGTGGGTCGCGGGTGGGTCGAAAGAGGGTCGCGGGTGGGTCGGCGGGTGGGTCGCGGGTGGGTCGCGGGGTGGGTCGCGGGTGGGTCGCGGGGTGGGTCGCAGGGTGGGGTCGCGGGGTGGATCGCGGGGTGGGTCGCGGGTGGGACGACGACATCAAACAACAACAACAACCACAACAACTACAACAACAACAACAGAAACAACAACACCACCACCACCAGCAGCAGCAGCAACAACAACAACACCAACACCAACAACACCAACACCAACACCAACAACAACAACAGCAGCAGCAGCAGAAGGAGCCGCACCAACAACAACAACACCAACACCAACAACACCAACACCAACAACAACAACAACAGCCACACCAACCACAACAACAACAGCAACAACAACACCACCACCAACAGCAGCAACAACAACAACACCAACAACACCAACAACAACACCACCAACAACACCACCAACAGCAACACCAACACCACCAACAACAACAACCACAACAACAACAGCAATAACAACAACACCACCACCACCGCCAACAGCAGCAGCAACAACAACAACAACACCAACACCAACACCACCACCAACAACAACACCAACAACAACAACAGCATCACCAACAGCAACAACAACAACAACAATAACGCAACAACCGACATCCTCACCACGGATCCCCACTTCAGCCACACACCCAGGGGCAATGAATGACCGTTCGGCCACCTCACTCTGACTGCTTGACCGATGCTCAAATGCCGCTTGCGGAATGCACTGCGTCTGCGAGCTGTTGCGAGAAATCTGGCCGTCCAGCGTAGCTGTAGGCTTTCAAGCGCGCAGAACAAGTATGGCGCACTTTTCGCCTACCCATGCAAAGTAACGCGAACAGTATCAAACTTTTTTCGTCGGCGGCGAGGCAGAGGCAGTCCGCACCAGCGTGAGGCTAATCGGGGCAACCGAAAGGCGAATTGTCCGGCGTGCAGGAGGGAGGAAAGAAGAGGAGGGCGGCCGCGCGAGGGGAGGGGGGAAGCGCTCAGAGCTAACAGTATCAAACACTTGGGAGGGAATCAACAGAGAACGTGTTGGCCCCAGACAATGAAGAATGAAAAGGGGGCACGCGGGGCAGGTGAGGGCAGGACCCTCTGGACGGGGTCCTGGTGGCGGTACCCGCTGGGCTGCGTTGGCCCTTTGCACGAGACGTTGACGCCCTGGCACAGCTGGACAGAAAGGGTTTGAGCGGTTTGCTCCAGTGTCTCAAAGAGGTGTTGGCAAATTCGGTGTAGGACCTGCACGTTAGCATGGATGCTTTGTCACCTCTTCGCATGCAACAAATGGTAGCATGTTTTGGTTATCTATGATCGGCCTTCTTAATGTTAACGCCTCGTCCAGGAAAAATCCAATCATGCTATGATATCAGTGAGCTCCCGCACTGTAGCAATATTGAGCACGTGTGCCGACATTCCAGTAACAATGCCCTTAGGGGGTCGTACTTATCTTCTTAGGAATTGGGCCTGGTTGTCGGTCCAGTCGGCTTGTGTCCACCCGTCGCTGCCGTCTTTGGTCCCGACTTGATTGTGCGAGGCTCGCACTTTGTATTGCTCTGCGCTGCTTTATATTGCTTGCACTTACGGGGTCTTACTTCTCTTCCAAAGAACTGGGCCTGGTTGTCGGTCCGGCCGTCTTGTGGCCACCAGTCGCCGTGGCCACCAGTCGCCGCCGTCCTTGGTCACAGTCTGATTGTGCGAGGCTCGCTCTTTGTATTGCTTAGCGTTGCTTTGCGTGTTGCTTTGCGCTGTCTTGCGTTGCTTAGCCCTGCTTCGCACTGCTGTGCACTGTTCCCAGCAGTCCTGTGGTTCTGGGTCCTCGCTTTGAAAAGACAGCACAGCGCCCCGCGTTCCTCCTCCTCCTCCTCCTCCTCCTGTTCCTCCTCCTCCTCCTCCTCCTCAATTTTTCCCCCTATAAATAACTCCTCCCTGTCGCGCCCCGCGGCCAGTCGAAAGGGCAGGCTGGGCGTTTCGCCTGGGACTTGTCTTGCCGATGTGCCACTCTAACAGGCAAACCGTATCAACCTGGGTGCGAGCGGACGAGCACCCTAAACCCTGGCGCATACCGTAGGCTGCAGAAGCAAGCGCCTCGCTCGAGACGTCCTCACAATCGAATGTTAAAGCAAAGGGTCGTGGGCAACCATGCGCACAACTGGCTTGGGACATCGTCACCACTTATGACCCTGAAACTTGAAGATTGGCAACAATGTCACATACGGAGGGCGGGCGTTTTTCCAAATGTGGCTCTCGCTTTCGCGCCACGCATACTTGTCTTTAACAGTTGCCAGCGTTTCGCGGATGGAGGGCATCTTTATCTTTAGTTTTTCTTCTCAACACGTGGCTATCGCCGTAGCGCCGCGCACATTCGTCTTAACAAGTTGCAGCAGTTCCACGTACGGAGGGCGGGTGGTTTTCAAAATGTGGCTCTCGCATTAGCGCCACGCGCACTCGCCCCAAACAGTGGCAACAACTTCAAGGATGGAGGGCGGGTGGTTTTTACAGCCGCGCACACTCATCGTAGACCATTGCAAGAGATTAACGGATGGAGAGCGGGTGGTTTTCAACATGTGGCTTTTGTCTTATCGCCGCGCGCGTTCGTTTTACACATCTGCAAGAGTGTCCTGTGGTTTCCAGGGTCAATAAATCAGAAATGGCGTCTTGGAACGATGTAATATTGTCAGGGCGCAACGGTTACGTGCATTCGCGGTGCTGTAGTCCCAGGAATGATGTTCTGGCGTGGTTCAGGACCGCCAACGCGCACTTACCATGTTGAGCCGTGGCGTTGGAGTCCCGAGAACGGTGCTTTGGCACGCTTCATGGTCTTCAAACAGTTATCCCCCAACGGGGCACTTCTCTCAGTGGAAACGAATTATTGTAGGGCCTGTGAAGACGGAGCTTGGAAGGAGGGTTTTTTCCAGCATCGTTCAAGAATCGTGGGTTTACACTGGTCCTCCTCCTCCTCCTCCCGCTGCCCCTTCTCCCTCCTCCCATCTGTGCCTCTGCCCTCCGCGTGTCCCTGCTTCGGCACACTCCTCACACGCCCCGTGGCTCCATAGGGAGCTCCACGCAAGGCCTCAGTGGCTTCGGTTGCATGCAGTTCCGCCCTCCATCTCGGCGCACCCCTCTCACGATTCGAGGCTCCAAGGGCAACTTCACCGAAAGCCCCAATCAATGCGGTTGCATGCAATTCTGTCCCCCGTCTCGGCGCACCCCTCACACGACCCGTGGCTCCATAAGGGGGCTTCACCCAATGCCCCAGGTGGCGGTGTTCGCATGTGGGCGTCACGCTCGTTTCGGCCCACCCCTCAAACGCTTCGTGGCTCCAATGGGAGCTCCACCGAAGGCCCCAGTGGCGACGTTCGCAGGGCGGCACCGTCCCCTTTCGGCACATTCCTCGCACGTCTGTGGCCCCATAAAAAGGGGGCTCTACCTCAAACCACAGTGGTAGGACCCGCTTGGCGGCCTCGCGCCCCATGTCGGCTCATTTCGGCATACCCTTCACACGATTTCTGGCTCTACAGGGTGATCCACCAGACGCGATATCCACAACGACGGTACTGACGACTGCATGTGGTTTGGGTCCTTCGCCAGGATTGAGCTTCCATTGCTTTGCGTTGTGTTCCATTGCTTTACATTGCTTTGCAATGCTTTCTGTTGCTTTGCGCTGCTTGGCAGTGCTTTTCTCTGGCTTGCATCGCTTTGCATTGCTTTGCATTGCAGCGTAATCGCATAGCGCTACTTCGCACAATCTAGATTGAGTACACCACATGTATTGCGCCACCTAGGTTGCACCGCATCAATTGTAGGGGATCGCAGTTTGGGCTAATATTGATATACACGATTTTCAATGGACATAGGGCGCGCTCGTGCGGACCACCTCGAGGATCGAAACCATTTGAGAATTGTTGTTCTGGTGATATTCTGGAGCCTGCCCCAGCACTTGATGACCACGTCTTGAGCGTTTCTGTATGCTTCTGTGAAGTCCCCAATGCAACCACTGCGACTAATCTCGAACAATTGATGGGTCGGCAGCCAGGTGTAATTTAGATCTCCGACGTCATCATCATGCCGCGTCCGTACTTGATAGTGCCAACCCCCGCTTAACTTTTGAAACCATGGATGTGGCGATGGGGTGCTCGACGTAGTTCATGCTGAAATTAGGCAACGATTCGCCTTGTGCTGCCGCCGTTCAATACTTTTCGGGATTGTGTGCAATGCTATTGGTAGATCTTGTGGGCATGTTCTGCGCGGCGGTCTGAAGACACAGTTCCAGAACTCCAACAACGGTGTTTTTTTGGTACTGCTGCACGCATGGTTGAGGTTGCCATCGTGGTTCTTGTAGGTTAGTTGGAGCTGCGAGTACGGATCCGTCCTTCGCACCGTTTTGCTCATGATTGCCTTGTCTCCGTTGACCCTGGACAGCTTCATCCGCTGAAGCAATCAGCTGGAAAAGGACATGCGGAATGCTTCCTGGTGGGGTGTCGCAATGACTGGTCCTTGCATCATCCGAAGCCTGCTTTCTCCACTCGGATGTGCCACCCATCAGAGCTACATTCGTTTTGTCATAGGCACTCTGCACACATGCACACTGCCGCGCATCCGCGCAAAACAGATGTCAGCCAACGTGCCCGCGGCGCGCTGGGGCGCGCTACCGCGGCGCGTTGGAACACTCCTTTGCTGCCCGGTGGAGCTTCCCCGCCCCCTCCCCTCGCCTCCCCCGCCACGTCCTCCCTCCTCCTCCTCCTCCTCCTCCTCCTCCTCCTCCCCCTCCTCCTCCTCCTCCTCTTCCTCCTCCTTCCTTCTCCTCCTCCTCCTCCTCCTCCCTCCTCCTCCTCCTCCTCCTCCTCCTCCTCCTCCTCCCTCCTCCTCCCTCCTCCTCCTCCTCCTCCTCCTCCTCCTCCTCCTCCTCCTCCTCCCTCCTCCTCCTCCTCCTCCTCCTCCTCCTCCCCTCCTCCTCCTTCTCCTCCTCCTCCTCCTTCCCTCCTCCTCCCCTCCCTCCCGCCCAGCTCCCCCGCCCCCTCCCCCTCCTCCCCCCCCCCCTCGCATGCGCGGGGTCCCAGCAAGTCGCCCCCTCTGCACTTTCTCCCTGGCGCGGGTGCACCTCAGCCGCGGCCCGGCTGCCGCCGCGGCCCCGCTGCCGCTGCTGGCCGCGCCGGCCCACTCGACAAGGAATTCTTCCGCGTCTGAGTGCCCTCCCCCTCCTCCGGCCCTCCGCGGCCGCCTCGTCCCCCTTTTCCCCCTTCCCTTCAAGGGGCCCTGGGACACACGAATGAATACACACAAATGACGGGATCCCCCATCTTTTCCCATGCTTTCTGGGTTTTTGGTCTTCCCCCCCACTTCCCATATTTTCCCATCTTCTCTGGGGGATCGACGATTCATTGTGTCTCTGTGTGTTTTTTTTCCCCCCCTCCTGACTCCTGCGCGCCGGCGCATGCGCGTGAGGTCGCCCCGCATCGCCGCTCGCGGGTGCAGCACACTTCGGCCTCGCCGCCGTGCGCAGAGAAGTGCTCCCCGGCACCCACTTTTTTCGGTGCCCAGGGAGCTGCAAGACGAGCAGTCTTCGGGAGCGGCCAAGAGGGGGGTGTCCAAGAGGGGGGGGTGCAAATCATGACCGGCGGCATGTGCGCGGCCCAGCGGGGGGGCCAGGGACGTAATGAAACAAGAAGAGGCGCCATGAAATCTGGGGAAATATCATGGCCCCCGCCATGATGTCCACCCCCCCCTAGTCATCACCCCCCTCTTTTCCGCCCCCGAGTGTAGCTCTTGGTTGGCCGTGCGGGCCGGGCAAGGTCTGAGACGTGAGGTGCACCTGCCTTTTCCCCACGGCCGTATCCTGACGTGCGGTAGCGGTCGGGCTCTCTCGCTCGTTCGCCCAGCTGCTACAGTCCCTCTCTGGCGGACATTGGCCTTGAACCGAATGGTTGCGGATGCATTGCCCGTCAAGCTCGGTGATAATGGGTTCGAGGGTGCTTCGCAATACGTGACTTTTGATTTAGATTCTCTAAGGGGTGCTTGCGCTTAGGGTTTTCATTTCTTTTCTGAAGAACTGGGCCTGTGGGCTGCTCTGACCGCCATGTGGCCGCTGTCGCCGCCTCGTCGCCGCCCGTCGTCTGGGCCTGCGGGCCGTTCTGGCCGTCGCCGCCTCGTCGCCGCCCGCCGCTTCGTCGCCGCTCGATTTGCATTGCTTCGCATTGTTTTGCATTGCTTGGCAGTGATTTGCATTCGTCTGCGTTGTTTTGCATAGCTTTGCGTTCCTTGCGTCGTTGCACGGCAATCCCTTTGCATTGCTTTGCATTGTATTGCATTGCTTTGCATTGCTCTGCCGTGCTTTGCATTTCCTTCCATTACTTAGTACTACTTTGCATCGAGTTGCATTGCATTGCATTGTATTGCTTTGCATTGGTTCGTGCTGTAATGCAATGTTTTGCATGGTCTTTCATGGGTTTCATCGCTTTGCATCGCTTCGCATGGTTTCGCGTTGCTGTGCATGCTTTTTAACTGTTTTGCGTTGCCGTGCATTGCTTGGCTTTGCATGGTTTTGCATTGCGTTGCATTGCTCGGTATTGATTTGCGTTGCTTTGCGTTTCTTCGCATGGCTTTACATTGCGTTGCATTGCATTGCAGTGCTCTGCGTTGCATTGCTGTGCGTTGATTTGCGCTGGTTTGCGTTGCTTTGCATTGGCTTGCACTATATCTATTGCGCCACGTTGGTTCTCCTAAGCCAATAGGACATGTCGCCCCCCTTCGAGGTTTCGCCGCTCCCCCTGGGTCATGCAATCTACATCTGATTTTGCCCCTTCGCTTGTCTTAAACATAAAAAATTATCCGATCAGAGCTTGCCTCTGCAAGGGTCCTAACGGATTCATTTGCGTAGGTGACCTACGTCGCCGATTTCGGTGGCCGGGCCCGGGTGCCTGGGGGTTCCCGGGGGTGCCCGGGTGCTTGGGGGTGCCTGGGGGTGCCCGGGGGTGCCCTATAGCCCTACAGCCGTATAGCCTTACAGCCTTATAGCCTTATAGCCCTGTCGCCCAATAGCCCGATAGCCTTCTAGCCCTATAAACCTGAAAACACGTATCATGTTTTTCTCCGATATCATATCATCGCAGCCAAACTATTTACCGTCCCTCACTTAATCAAATTATACTATGCGCGCAAAATCGTTTATCACAAACTACATATTTCCGAACATCCTTTGCCACAATAGTGACACCGTCTGCACGCCCGCGTCGTCGCGCGCTCATGTAGGAAACTTTCAACAATTTCAGGCTTTGTAAAAATTTCAAGACCACATACAACATCACTGGCTTCGCACCATGTATTTTCCAACAGGTCGGCGCGCGCGCGCTCCACATTGTCGTCAAACGCGGCCAAGCGGGCCCCTCGTACGCGCATGGCGAAATTATTCGAGCGCCCTTGCGCGCGTGTTGGCTGGTCTCGCCAGTCGGCCGCGCGCGCATGTCGAAATCCTTCCAAAACCTTCCTCGCCGAAATGTGGACACCATGATCGTCATCGGCGCGATCAGCATTGGCCCCGTCAGTGGCCGTGCCGTCGTCATTGCCATCACCATCACCAGCACCGCTACTATCATCATCGTGTCAGCCATTGTCGACGTCGCAGTGATACCGCGACCGCCCGAATCACCGACTCGCACTGAAGTGCCCGCGCGTCAGCGCGGCCTGCGAGACGCGCTGGGGCAGTCCGCAGCGGTCAGCGTCACCGCGGCCGCGTCGGTCGCGCCAGACGCGCTGGCCGCTCTGCGCGCGAGCCTGCGCGCGCTAGCGCGGACGCAGCGATGCGCCAGCCAGCGCCAAGCAGCCATCGCAATCGCCGCAAACCAAGTTGCGGGTGGGTTGGTCGGATGATTGCGCAACCAATGGAGTTGACAACTTCGAGTTCGCTAGGGCGGGTTGCAGCGCATAGACTCCTCTTTCTGAAAGAGAACTAACACCTACCCGCTTGGGGTTATCCATGCCCCTGGGGATGTGCAGTTTTCCCCAGTGCTTGGTGTGGCCGGTCTGGCGGCTATGTTGTCGCCGTCGCCGCCCTTGCGTCGCCTGGTCGCCGCCCGTCGTCTGGGCCGTGTGGCCGGTCTGGCGGCTATGTTGTCGCCGTTGCCGCCGCGTCGCCGCCCGTCGTCTGGGCCTTTCTAACTGTCTGGCGGCTATGTTGTCGCCGCCGCTGGATAACACCAAGTAGAGTGCACGACGAGAAAACTCGCGCCTGCGGCGCACACTTAAATCGTTCACGATATAGGTTGCGTATATATATATATATATATATATATCTATATATATATATCGCTCGTACATGAGGGGCGCCACTAGTGTCCTTGCGAGGCCTACGCGGGCGCTCTAGTTAACTCCACGAGAGCCACTGCTGCTCGTCGACTTTCGTATAGATGACCAGCCCACTCCTCTTGCTGGAGCGACGGCGGATGCGAGACACGTGCAGTGTTGTACATGTGGAACGCCATGACAATGGCCTCCACGGCCTCGAGAGTCGGGGCTCCATTGAGCCCGATCCTGGCCAGACTACAAGACGGGGGGTCACGGTCCCTTGGATAGGCCAGACCCCACAAAACTTCACACTGGAGGTAGTGAGCAAAAGTATCTGGGGCTGGGATCAGCGGGGGCTCACGGCAACGAAATTTACAAGCCTGTACTCCGCCCGCCGTGTGGAGCCTGGCCGTTGTTAGCCACGCTCCCACTATCGTCTTCAACGCTGCACTCTGCCACGCAGGGCTGACCTGCTCGAGTATTCCACGGAGAGGAGGCCAGGAGTGGCGAACAGCACTGAGGCCCCAAGATTTCTGACGCCGCGCCAGCACACTGGGGAGAACGTCGGGGAAAAGGGAGGAGTGAAGGGAGCGAGAAATAGTTTTCTGGACCCGCACGCGTGCCGCCCTCTCCTCGGCAGCAGCGCGCTCCACCTCCTGGGCGCGCCACGCCTGGGCGGCATGGCATGCGAGCGATGTCTCACTCACGAAGCTCTCGGAGGCCTCCGCCAGGCTCACCACCACTGGCTGTGTCTTCCAGTGGACGGGCGTGCACCGCGCCTGGCCGATCGCCAGGAGGGAGCCGTGGCTCACCGTCTGCTCCTGGAGCCATGAGTGAAGGCTCTGCCAGTTGGTGATCGTGACCGTCGCAGCTCTCATGAGTGACGCGAGTCCTGTGGCCTGCATAGACCTGATCCTCAGCGAGGGCGCCCACTGCCCCAGACTGAGAAGATCGTTCCTGGCCAGGCTCTGCGACGGCATGTGCCAGATCTTCGTGATGGCCCACGCCTCACGATCCAACAGCTCCTTGGGCACCCGCGCAACCTGCTGGAGGTAACCCAGCACAGGAAGGATCCTCTGGTTGTAGAGCTTGGCCGACAGCGACGAGTGAGCCCCGCACTGGGCCAGGTCGATGACGCGCGCATGCCACTTCGCGGCAGCCTTCCTCCAGATGTCCTGCTCCGGCGCTCCTGGCCCGATCATGTACCAGAGATACTCGGCGTAGCCCCGAACCGACATGGCCGCCCAGCTCGGGATCCATGTCTGCAGCCACAACGTGAGCTCCTGCTTGGACTCCTCCGTCACGGGGCCGTCCAAGGGAATGGGCACGCACTTGGCCAGTTTCAAGCGCAGCCCTGCCAACGCGCGGGCCGCCTCGAATGCCCTCCACATGCCGAGAAATAGCCGCCTCGATCGTAACACAGCGCCCACATCATCCGCACCCACGCCCAGGGCCGAGCGCGAGCTCCTGTCCGTGTACCGCTGCATGTGGTGAGTGAATAAAGGGATTCATGATGATGGCCCACAGCGAGCCTGACGATGGGCAGCCCTGAGCCAGCCCGCAGGTGATGCACGCGAAGTGTACCATCATGCCCGCCATCTGGACGTACGCCGTGGGCAGCCAGTACAGCGGCGTGAGAGTGAGGAGCAGGCCCCCCTCGAAGCCCGAGAAGACCAGCATCGCGAAGAGCCACTCCACCATCATCGACGGGAACGCGTCACCGAAGTCGTACAGCGCCATCAGGGGATTGAGGGAGGCCACATCATCCAGGTAGCCCGCGACGCGAGCAGTCGTGTCCAAGAGCGTGATGTTGTCCAGGAAGTTCCGCCCCCGCAGAAATCCACGCTGCGGAGTAGGCGATGCGCATTCCACCGCACCTTTGATGCTGGAATTGGC